AAATTAACTTATGTTCATAGGCACAAATAGAAACCTGCAACAATATTTAATTTAATGTAACAAAGTCGTCTTATCCATTCTAAAATTTTGTCTTTTAGAATTTGGTTAAAATAAAATTTTACTAATTTTGTTATATAGCTTTAAATAAAAACGTTTTAACTTTCTGTCCATAAAAACAAAATTTTACGTTTTCTTATCCACTTCTAGACCATAATCATTCTTTTTGTTTTGCATATGAAAAATTGTTATTATTTTAAAATAATCTTAAGGTCATTGTCATAGTCTGAAAAACTTCAAGTCGTTTTTTTACACATTTCTTGAGTTTGGTTTTTATAAGATCTCTTATATAGTTAGTTACTTACGTCTGATGATGATTTCTTAGGAAATAAATTGTGTTTTTGAAATAAAAAACGTTAAAAACGTATTATAGTGATAATGCAATAAAAATTGTTATTGAATCTATGATGACCAAAAATAGGCTTTTATAACGATAACAAAAAAGGTTGATTAATACTTTAAAATTACTGTAATTGTTCAGTTCGAACCAAATATTTTTGGGAAAAAGTTAAGACAGACAGACATGTTTGATTTTAATATAACTTTTTTAAATATTTGTTTCGAAAATAAAAACCAATGAACTCTACATGCATTTTAAAGAGTTTAGACGTGTAAACGTAAATAAGATTTTCTTTTTTGACTTTATTTTGAATTTTTTGGTAACACATGTCAACCATGAACTTGAGCAAATGAGAACACAATCTTCGACATGAAAAAGAACGCACACATTGGAAAAAAATACTATGAATGAACAGATGTATTTTTCAACAGCAAGTATAAATAAATATTAATTTTTTTAAACATAAAGTTTATTTAGCACCAAGATCATCAGTGTCAAGGTTATAAATTATGCAGTTGTTATATGCGTTGTTTTTTCTATTGCTTCTATGATTAAATGAAAAAAGATGTTATTTGGATGACACTATTGTAAAGCAATTTATAACACATTTTTACAAAAAGGAGATTGTAAGAATTTTTCTACAAAAATAACAAACCAGACACAATACATCCAAAAAGGATAAAATATTGTTTTTTTTTTCGTAAATAAAACTCGCCGCAAATAAAATACAAAAATCATCATTTCTTACCAAATTTTCTTTTGACTTTTTAACTTCCACAACTAAAACGTTTCTACTGAAATTCTTTCGAAAATTCCGAAATTATTCAACATAAGTCTAAATTAAAATAAATTTTTTAAATTTATTTTTGAATTTTTCCTTTTAAGATTAAGCAAACAATTTGCCTCGTTTCTATAATTTTTGCATAAACTCACAAGAATGTTGTATGTTGTAAGTAAACACGTACCATAGATTATATTTAATTTTTATGTCTTATAAATTTTAATATTCTAGATAATTTATGAATAAAATGTGTACTTATAATGTGGAACATAATTCAAAGAAGACTGCCATAAAGGCACCACTCAGCAGGATTAGAAATGGGAACAAGTGGCTGTACTTTACTTAACGAAAGAATAAGACGTTTTTTATAAATAAACTGTCATAAAAGTACTGATCAAAAGTTGGCATACTAATGTACAAAGTACATGAAATGGAAGTAATAAATGGTATTAATTTTTGGTTAATAAAAAGATAGATACATTCAGTAGACATTTACATACACCGACGCAAAGGTGATTAAAAATATTAAAGAACTATTTCTACACGGAATTAGAACAGAACTAGAAAAAGTACTAAAACAGAAATAGAACAGAAATAGAACAGAACTAGAACAAAACTAGAACAGAACTAGAACAGAACTAGAACAGAACTAGGACAGAACTAGAACAGAACTAGAACAGAACTAGAACAGAACTAGAACAGAACTAGAACAGAACTAGAACAGAACTAGAACAGAACTAGAACAGAACTAGAACAGAACTAGAACAGAACTAAACAGAACTAGAACAGAACTAGAACAGAACTAGAACTAGAACAGAACTAGAACAGAACTAGAACAGAACTAGAACAGAACTAGAACCGAACTAGAACAGAACTAGAACAGAACATAACAGAACAGAACAGAACAGAACTAGAACAGAACTAGAACAGAACTAGAACAGAACTAGAACAGAACTAGAACAGAACTAGAACAGAACTAGAACAGAACTAGAACAGAACTAGAACAGAACTAAACAGAACTAGAACAGAACTAGAACTAGAACAGAACTAGAACAGAACTAGAACAGAACTAGAACAGAACTAGAACCGAACTAGAACAGAACTAGAACAGAACAGAACTAGAACAGACTAGAACAGAACTAGAACAGAACTAGAACAGAACTAGAACAGAACTAGAACGAACTAGAACAGAACTAGAACTAGCAGAACTAGAACAGAACTAGAACAGAACTAGAACAGAACTAGAACAGAACTAGAACAGAACTAGAACAACTAGAACAGAACTAGAACAGAACTAACAGAACTAGAACAGAACTAGAACAGAACTAGAACAGAACTAGAACAGAACTAGAACAGAACTAGAACAGAACTAGAACAGAACTAGAACAGAACTAGAACAGAACTAGAACAGAACTAGAACAGAACTAGAACAGAACTAGAACAGAACTAGAACAGAACTAGAACAGAACTAGAACAGAACTAGAACAGAACTAGAACAGAACTAGAACAGAACTAGAACAGAACTAGAACAGAACTAGAACAGAACTAGAACAGAACTAGAACAGAACTAGAACAGAACTAGAACAGAACTAGAACAGAACTAGAACAGAACTAGAACAGAACTAGAACAGAAACTAGAACAGAACTAGAACTAGAACAGAACTAGAACAGAACTAGAACAGAACTAGAACAGAACTAGAAACAGAACTAGAACAGAACTAGAACAGAACAGAACTAGAACAGAACTAGAACAGAACTAGAACCAGAACTAGAACAGAACTAGAACAGAACTAGAAAAGAACTAGAACAGAACTAGAACCAGAACTAGAACAGAACTAGAACAGAACTAGAAACAGAACTAGAACAGAACTAGAACAGAACTAGACAGAACTAGACGAACTAGAACAGAACTAGAACAGAACTAGAACAGAACTAGACAGAACTAGAACAGAACTAGAAAGACTAGAACAGAACTAGAACAGACTAGACCAGAACTAGAACAGAACTAGAACAGAACTAGAACAGAACTAGAAACAAGAACAGACTAGAACAGAACTAGAACAGAACTAGAACCAGAACTAGACAGAACTAGAAACTAGAACTAGAACAGAACTTTAGAACAGAACTAGAACAGAACTAGAACAGAACTAGAACCAGAACTAGAACAGAACTAGAACAGAACTAGAACAGAACTAACAGAACAGAACAGAACTAGAACAGAACTAGAACAGAACTAGAACAGAACTAGAACAGAACTAGAACAGAACTAGAACAGAACTAGAACAGAACTAGAACAGAACTAGAACAGAACTAGAACAGAACTAGAACAGAAAGAACAGACAGAACTAGAACAGAACTAGAACAGAACTAGAACAGAACTAGAACAGAACTAAACAGAACTAGAACAGAACTAGAACAGAACTAGAACAGAACTAAACAGAACTAGAACAGAACTAGAACAGAACGAACAGAACTAGAACAGAACTAGAACAGAACTAGAACAGAACTAGAACAGAACTAGAACAGAACTAGAACAGAACTAGAACAGAACTAGAACAGAACTAGAACAGAAACTAGAACAGAACTAGAACAGAACTAGAACAGAACTAGAACAGAACTAGAACAGAACTAGAACAGAACTAGAACAGAACTAGAACAGAACTAGAACAGAACTAGAACAGAACTAGAACAGAACTAGAACAGAACTAGAACTAGAACAGAACTAGAACAGAACTAGAACAGAACTAGAACAGAACTAGAACAGAACTAGAACAGAACTAGAACAGAACTAGAACAGAACTAGAACAGAACTAGAACAGAACTAGAACAGAACTAGAACAGAACTAGAACAGAACTAGAACAGAACTAGAACAGAACTAGAACAGAACTAGAACAGAACTAGAACAGAACTAGAACAGAACTAGAACAGAACTAGAACAGAACTAGAACAGAACTAGAACAGAACTAGAACAGAACTAGAACAGAACTAGAACAGAACTAGAACAGAACTAGAACAGAACTAGAACAGAACTAGAACAGAAACTAGAACAGAACTAGAACAGAACTAGAACAGAACTAGAACAGAACTAGAACAGAACTAGAACAGAACTAGAACAGAACTAGAACAGAACTAGAACAGAACTAGAACAGAACTAGAACAGAACTAGAAACAGAACTAGAACAGAACTAGAAAAAGAAACTAGAACAGAACTAGAACAGAACTAGAACAGAACTAGAACAGAACTAGAACAGAACTAGAACAGAACTAGAACAGAACTAGAACAAACTAGAACAGAACTAGAACAGAACTAGAACAGAACTAGAACAGAACTAGAACAGAACTAGAACAGAACTAGAACTAGAACAGAACTAGAACAGAACTAGAACAGAACTAGAACAGAACTAGAACAGAACTAGAACAGAACTAGAACAGAACTAGAACAGAACTAGAACAGAACTAGAACAGAAACTAGAACAGAAAGAACTAGAAACAGAACTAGAACAGAACTAGAACAGAACTAGAACAGAACTAGAACAGAACTAGAACAGAACTAGAACAGAACTAGAACAGAACTAGAACAGAACTAGAACAGAACTAGAACAGAACTAGAACAGAACTAGAACAGAACTAGAACAGAACTAGAACAGAACTAGAACAGAACTAGAACAGAACTAGAACTAGAACTAGAACTAGAACTGAACTGAACTGAACTAGAACTAGAACTGAACTAATATTGAACCAATCAAAAAATTTGGTAACTTCATTTTCAAAAATTAAAGCGGTTGCTTTTCAAACAAATAATTTTTATTTAAAAACTTTATAAAACTTGAACCATCCTATAAAATTAATTTAGTTTCATTTTTATTTCATTAAAATTTTCAAAATATGGAAAAGATTGGTGTTTGCGTAATTGGCTCCGGAAATTGGTAAATATGATAAAACTATTTAATATTTAGAAAAAAACGTATTAAAATAGTTTCTTTTAATACTTCAAGGGCCACTGCCATTGCGAAAATAGTGGCTGAAAATGCTTTAAATTTGGCGGATGTAGAAGACAATGTCAATATGTTTGTATACGAAGAACAATACGAGGGAAAATGTTTGAGTGATTTGATAAATACGTTGCATATAAACAAGAAATATGCACCACAACTAAAACTGCCAGATAATGTGGTATGATTCCAAAATATTTTTGAAATTAATTTGTATCAAACTTATTTTACAGCTGGCAGTTACAGATTTGGTAGAGACGGCTAAATATGTGGATATTATAATATTTGTTATGCCTCATCCTCTAATACCGGATTTTTGTAGAACTTTGTTGGGTAAAATTAAACCCGATGCTATGGCTGTAGCGGTAACTAAAGGCTTTACACCAGCTGAGGGCGGAGGTTTTCAGTTAGTTTCTCAGACAGTAACGAAATTTTTAAAGGTTTGAAAGATTTATTTGAAAGTAATGAATTTGTAGGAATATTTTTTATTTATTAAAGATACCATGTGCCGTTTTAATGGGCGCTAATTTGGCCAGTGAATTGACTTTAGATAACTATTGTGAGGCTACTATAGGCTGTCGTAATGGCAAACATGCTAAATTGTACAAAGATATATTTGAGTCACAAAATTTTCGTGTTACCGTAGTAGATGATGCTGATTGTGTGGAAGTTTGTGGTTTTCTGAAGGTATGGATTTGGTGAATTGTAAATTTATGAATTTTGAGTTTTGGTTTTACTTTTAGCATATTATATCTTTTGGTGCTGGTTTATTAGATGGTTTCGATTGTAATACAAATACCAAAGCAGCCTGCATACGTTTTGGGTTTTTGGAAATGATACGTTTTATGGATGTCTTTTATCCAGGCAGTAAATTGTCCACATTTTTTGAAAGCTGCGGTTTGGCTGACTTAATAACAGTTTGTACAGCCAGTCGCAGTCGTCGTATAGCTGAAGCTTTTGTTAAGACCGAACGTTCTTATGAGGAATTAGAGCAAGAGATATTGGGTGGTGAGAAGCTATTGGGCCCCATTGCTGCTAAATCGGTTTCGGTGATGTTGAAGCAAAAGGGATTGGAAGATAAGTATGACAATTTATTACTAGGAAATTTTCCGATTGATTTTATTTAATAAAAATTTCTTGTTAAAAAGTTTTAAGTTGAATTCTTATGTAATTTTTCTTCTTTATTTTTAGATTTCCTTTATTTACCACAATTCATAAAATATGCCAATATGATGTAAAGCCTGAAGAAATATTAAATTGCATACGAAAAATACCGGATATTATGTAAGTAAATGTCTGACTTTAGAAATGTATGGAAAATGCTATGACTATAACTGCTGCTTCGTTCTTTAATTCTTTCATCCTCTACAGTTATCATCCCACAAATGTATTTCCTTTGTAAAACAGAACGACCACATTTGTATGTCCACACATTTGAATTTTATTTATTTTCCCTATTACGTTTACCATATAAATTTTATTTTATTTATAAATAATTAAAAATTTATCAAGTGTGTTTGATGTAAAATTTTGTTTATTTTTGCATGTTTTATAAAAATTTTATTTTCAAATCATTAAAATTGAATATAACATTCAATTCCAAATGTATTGTATTATTCTGATAAACATTATTTGTCAATTAGAGTTCTAGGAAATTGAAAACTTTTGCAAAATTAAAATCGTTATTATTAGGAGTACAATGTGTACTATGAAACGAGATTATAATGAAAGATAGAATTACTTGTAATCATTTTCAATGTTTCTGATGAGGTTCTTGGTTATTTTGTTATGGGTTTTTGAGAGATACGAAGGATGTAAGTAATTTGCTATAACAATTGTTAAAATTTCTCACAATTCAAAGATTTTTGTTAAACGAAATATTTTTCGTTATTTCTATAGAAATTTTCATGAATAATGTTGAATATGTAAGCCGAGGGGCCGAATTACTGCATAAATGTTGATTTTCATTCCATCAATATTACATAAAAACAAAGAGTACAGTTGAAGAACGAAAACGTACCAAAAATCCTTTCGTACAGATTTTCAACCACTAAGGACATTGAATGTTTAATTTTATGTTTACAGGTTCAATACAACAGTAAAATGAAAAAATACCTTTTGAAGAACGAAAAAGTACCAAAAGTCCCTTTTACTAGGTTTTCATTTACTCCAGGTTCTACATGCTTAATTTCATGTTTCTAGGTTAAATATTAAAGAACACTCAAAAAGTACTTTTTGAAGAACTAAAAGGTACCAAAATGTCTTTTTGTACAGGTTCTAACTTACTACGGGCTCTATATATTTAATTTTATGTTTCTCAGTTTAATATTATATTCAAAGTGAACGAAAAAGTACCAAAAGTCCCCTTTTATAGGTTCTCATTTATTATTAAAGTATCTTTTGAAAAATGTACCTTTTGAAGAATGAAAAAGTATCAAACAATGTCCTCTTTTTTGTAAGTTCTCAATTTCATGTTTCTAGGTTCAATATTATAGAAAATTAAAAAAAAACTTTTGAAGAACGAAAAAGTACCAAAAGCCCCATTTTATACATATGTTATCATTTACTCCTGGCTCCACATGCTGAATTTTGTGTTTTTAAGTACAATATCATAGAAAATTCAAAAGGTACAAATACTAATCCTTCACAGAGGGAAAAAAGAAATATACACGGCTGTTCTCAAATTGACACTAAATCCGTTGTCAATAGTAAGCTTACCACGTTTGTTAACTTTTAGACAATGGATGCGAATAAAATTTAGATTTCGACAACGTTGCGTTATCAACATTACATAGTGTTGTCGTACGTATTTATCTACTTAGACAACGGATGTTATTGAAAAATGAAGCTGTATGTTGTTGTTTCTTATTATTTTTGCCAAAGCATGCACAATGAAATGTTCGAGTTTTCGTCGGCTTTTTGCTCATATTTACATTATTTATCGAACGATTGTGCTCGTTTCAAATAGCAGACATAACGAACGCATGTTTGATAGAATTATTGAAAAATTTAATAATGAAGATATCTGCCGTCTTCAGAAAATTGATTTCAACCGACAGAAAGGAAGGAAGGCAGTCGTACACAGCTTAGCCGACTCCAATATTTTTGTGAATCTATGAATCTAGTATTATTTTGTTTGAGCTACAAACAGATTGTAAAACTTGTCACGAAAATGAAGGGTATAAAGTTGGCCTCACCCATATTGGGCCTTTTATACTCCACAACACTATAGTGGAGAGGGTATTATATTTGTAGCAGCCAAAAATATTGGCTCAGAATTAACTTCTTCAACGTCTGTCCGTCCGCCCTACCGTCTATGTGTCCATATTAACCTTGTGCGCACGCTACAGGTTGCAATTTTCAAGATAATTTGATTTCGCATATATTCTTCTTTTGACCCAAGTGAAAATGGTTAAAATTGGTGCATTATTTCACCTAGACCCCATACAACCGTACCACCGGATATGGCTATTGAGGTCATAAATATGTTAAATGTTCTTGTATCTCTCCAAAAATTAGCAAAACTTAGTTTTATATAAGTCTAAATGTACTGCCAATATTCGCAATGATCGAGACTCATATAGGGCCCCCATACAAAGTACACTTCAGAAACCCCCATATAAACCCTCATTTAGAAAATCTCTTTTTCATACCCACCATCAAAAAAGATGGGGGATATATTGATTTTGTCATATATATTCTGGGTCCTTATTAAATTCTAAGACCAAGCTCTAGCCATGTCTGTCCGTCCGTCTGTCTGTCTAGCCGCCACACAAGTGACCATATCTGTTTCAAAAGTACGAGTATAGCGATGAAATTCGACATAAATAAGATTCATATGGTCCAAAATCTAACTACCATAGTGTATTAGGATCGGTCCATAATTGATCCTACTCCCCAAATAAGGCCTCCTTCAGAAATATACTTTAACGCTCATTACTGGCTTAAAAATACGAGTATAGTGATGAAATTCGACACAAATAAGTTTCAATGAAGCCAAAATTTCTCTATCAAACTTTATGTGCATCGGTCCATAATTGATCCTACTCCCCATATAAGGTGCCCTTCAAAAAATTACTTAAACGATCATTACTGGCTTAAAATACAGAATACACAAAAGCGATGAAATTCGATACACATACATATGTTTTATACGAGTTAAAACCTCTCTACCAAATGTATTGAGGATCGGTCCATAAGAAAATTACTTTAACGATCTTTGCTGACTTAAAAATACGTGAAAAGTTATGAAATTTTATATAAGAAACATATATAGGAACGTAAATCTTCCTACCGAATTTCATGCGGAAAGTGACTCGCAGTGATATTCGATGTAAAGATGTTTTGTATGAACCAAAATTGGTCTAAAAAAATTTTATGAAAAACGGTCAATTATTAACCCTATCTCTCATATAAGGTCCTCTTCAGTTTTAAGGCATACGGTTTGTTGGTAGGTGTATGAGACACTCTCACTTGTTTATCGACAAATTGTTAAAATATTTCTGATTTAAGATAAAGATCGCTTTAAATGTTTTATTATTAAAAAAATAATCTACATTTTTAACATAACCATTGGTGTAGGGTATCATATGGTCGGACATACCCTACTATTCCTTCTTACTTGTTTTACTTTAAATGCGACCCTCGTATTTATAAAAAAAAATACAGTTTATAGGAAGTTGTTACGTTTGATTAGTTCTTGTTTATTCTATTGTTAAGTATTTCGTATTTTATGTTTGGCCAACTAACCACCCATGGAGCTTTTTTATCACCAGGCAATGTGCATGAAATTCGTTTGATTACGGAAAAAATACTTAAATAAAGCACTATGTATACATGCTAACTCTTTAGTTCAAGCTATAATCAGAATAACAACTAGAAAATTTATCATAATACATATATGTTGCCAATCTCTACCTACTTCAACTAAGAAGCTTTTAAAAATTTGAAAAAATCTAAGAAAGATTTTCTTGAAAGAAAATTTAAGTTGCCAAGCAAATGAATAAAAATAAATATATTCATGCTAAAAATAGTATTAAACCATAGGCTTTATAATTTAAATACTTAAAAATACTTTTGATTTTGTTTCAAATTGATGGGTGGTCTTTTAAATGTATTTAAAAAAAATTTTAATTTATTATGAACGCCATTATTTTGTAATTATAATACCGTTAAAAATTAAACAATTATGACGTAAAGAATGTTTTTAAAACATAAAAAATAATTAGCATATTTTTTTGTTTTCATTTTGTAAGTTACAAGGAAATAAAAACTTAATTTAAAAAAAAATATATTTTTGGTCTTGAACATCAATTAAAAAAATTTAAATGAAAACTAGCTTGCAGCAGTTAAAAATGCCTCTTGTTATTAATTAATTAAATTGCAGTAAAATGTTTAATTTATAAAAAAACAACGGTTTGTTTTTAAAAAAAACTACATATTTATTATGTAGTTAAGGCATTTTTTAGTAGATTAATTTTTCTCATTTATCACAATTTATTACTTAAACAAATTTGCCAGCTTTACTTTTTGACACTGACATGCCGCACATGTCATGTATGAGTTGCTGTTTTTTTCTTCTTTACTTTACTCCAGTGTAATTTTACCTTTTAAAGAAATTGAAAGTTATGTACGAAGAAATTATTAATATGTTACTAATATATATTACAAAACATTAAAAATACATATATATGTGTGTACGAATGTCATAATGGCAAGAAGTTTACTTTTCATTGCCCCATCAATTCAATTGTCAACACATGTAAGTAATTGGAGAACATTGTAATATAAGTTGGGGGTAATTTTGGGCTGGTGGTAGTTGTTGAAAATAGGTGATTCTTAAACATGTTTATAATTCTTAGAAAATTTAATAAAGATCAAATTTTTAAGTAAGGGGAAAAGAAAATAATACAAGTTTTATTATTTCAAGTTTTGCAAAACATCTTTAATAATATATTTAAAGAATTTAATTTAAAACATATATTTTTTATACCCTACACCACTATAGTGCATTGTGCTTTTCTAATAATGTATATTTAAATACTCAGCTTTAAGTATACCTTAAGTATACACCTTCTGAGTATAGCGTATCATATAGTCGGTCATGTCAGACTATATATATATATTATATATTATTCACCTTCGTGACAAAGTTATATACATAAAAGTTTATCATTACGTTTGTAATTTCTATAATATAATTTTGCGACTATAAAATATTTATACGTATTCCGAGTCCCTTAAAGACAGCGGAGTGCATTAAGCCATGTGAGTCTGTATGTTGAAATCTGTCGAAAAGATTGCTATTTGAAATTAACAAAATCTAAATCAAAGATTAAAAATTGTGTGTGGGAACTAAGCAGTGTTCAAATCGGGTGTTTGTAACTTGGCACCAAGGACAATGTTTCGGTACTTTTCGTTAGTTAGTTAGTTAGTCAGTTCGTAGTTAGTTAGCGTTAGTTAGTTAGTTAGTTAGTTAGTTAGTAGTTAGTAGTAGTCAGTTGTTAGTTAGTTAGT